TATTGTAAATTAAGGTACTTTTTAACAAAACGAACGCATAGCACTCACCAGAAGTTAAATGTGCTTGATGATGCCGTTGGTGTCAGAAGAAAATATTTCATCCACTGCAACTCTCTGTCTCTCTGTCCAAGTTCAGTCTGAATTTAAATACTTCACTGAGACTATGGTCCGGTTAGAGACAGTGATTAAACACCCACTTACGTTGGGATCGGTGCTGCAGCACACACCCAAATTGTAACAACTACTCATTACTAATAATTAATAATTATTCTAATTATTGTCACTGTTACATGCTGTACAGTGAGACATTGTAATTTCATCTCTTGGCACCAACTCAGGTGGTTTCATTAAGCTTTGAACTTTGCTTCCATCAACCTTTTCTCTGGTAGAAGACACAACTGTGCACTACCTGCATCAAACAGCAGAGGGACACAGTTAGTAACTAGAAACAAACCCTGCAGTCATAAATACCCAATTCGTCAAATTTTAAAATGTTAAAGTGTCAACATTTTGACTTTTAATCCCAGCCGATCAGCAAACTGAGGAATTATTGTAATTTAAGAATTATAAGAGGGATGCAGGCAAAAACAAATAATAATAAATTGACTGACAGGTTAATATGAGATTGTAGGACTTGATGAGCACAATATATATTCTGTGTTGAACCAATTAATATCAATGCTGTATTGAGAGCCACAGACAAACAGTCAGACAGACAGACTCAGTTTTATTAAATCAATGCTTTTACAACTTGGTCCCCAACTGTCATTTTATTCATCTCAGGAGAAAGTGGTTAGTGATCAAAAGTTCACAAATGAAATCAAATGAAATCACCATGTCAATGTTGTGCAAATACTGTGTTGTTGGATAAATATTAGAAATGTATAAACCACACATCTGACCTCACAGGCCTTTGCTATGACAAAACATAAACATGACGAACAGGAGCTTCTATGGGTTTTTGTGGTTCCTCAACTCAAATCTTTTCACTGCAGGACAGTAAACAGTCCCTGCACGTGTTTGGATAAAATAAGCAAATAAGTTTGGTTCAATGCACTGATTCACATTATCTGTGATGCTGCTTTGTTATATTTCATATTTTTTGCATTATTTTGGAAAGTAGGTTGATTTTCTGATTTTTAATTTCCCTGTAATATTTTTGTGGCATGACTATTTTCAAAATCATGATTTCACGGTTTCTGGTCATGAGTTATTTTCTTTCCCACTTACAGCAGGACAGCATGACTAACCTGATTTTGTCTGTTCGTCAGAAATGACTGTGCTGTACCCTGCACACAATGACACAATTGATTTTCTTGTTGACCACCCATCCAATCAACTTCAAACTTGACGGCCATTTTTCTGAGGACGTCAGTAAGTGCAGTGTTGGCTGTAACTGTTTCCTTGACCTTCCACTCATTTTGTTCAGGTTTTAATTTATAAACCTGCACCTATGACTTCAGAGAAATGTCAAAATCAGTTTCGACCATATAAAAATACTGGAATGTAGAGACCTTTCTAGGTTTCTAAGATTTCCTCATCAGGCAGTTCTACCTTCAAGTTCCCAAATGCCTGTTGGAGAGACAACTCAGGTTGAAAGCATGTGCACATGCTGATATGCCCTAATTACACCTGTCCTCCGTCAGAGGACAGCTTCTAGAGAACACCACACCTCAACTGATGGAACATTTGATTTCATTTTATTCAAATACAACATCTCTGCAATGTCCTAAGGCTGGGCCTGAGCATAATTAGCCAATCTCGGCTCGAAGTGTTTCCATCGCACTGAAACAAAAGGATGAGACTCACCCTGTGTCCACGGCCAATCAGTGCTGACATTCTGTTCCATAAGCTTTGGCTTTGAAGATGCTGGTTAAACTCGTTCAGCCAGAATTCTGCTTCACCATCATTATGGTAAAGGGCTCTTCTTGTGTTCTGCTCTACTGCTGCATGAAGAAGATGAACACACACATATCCTGTCTGTGCATGTGACACTCAACCCACAAGCTAAAAGCATAAATTCTGACCTGTCATTAATGCTGCACTCCAGAAAGAGTTGTGATTTTCTCAGCTGAAATGTCAAACCTCTGATCAAAGTTCAGTAGTAGTAGTAGTAGTACTGAGCTTATATGAATACTATCGTTTACAGTGATGAGTGTATAACAAAGTTGGTCCCTCAAATTGACTCAGTTTCCCACAGTCCTCTGCTTTGTCCCTGATGTCCATCCATGGACTTCACACTTACTGTATCATTGCTGCAGTGACTCCTGATGCAATTTTATCAATAGCAGTTAATGACCAATAAGCTCAATAAGCAAAGAGCAGAGACGCTATTCTGTGATTTATCAGAAGATAATGTCGTCATGTTCGTGGAACTTTCATTTCAAGACACACAAGCAATTCAATTTTTTTATTTACACACACACACGCATGAATCCGTGAGATTGAAATTAAAAAACACATTTCAATTCAATTCAATTCAATTTTATTTGTATAGCGCCAAATTATAATATACATTATCTCAAGGCGCTTAACAAAGAACGTCAAGACCTTAACAATGTGTTTTCTAACAGATTATAGTCTCCTCTTAATTTTGTCTCCATAGTAAAGAACATTTGCAGCAGCTGCACGATCTGATTATTACTCTTCATGTGTATATAAAAATAGTGTCTGTAATGTCAGAGTTGCACAACATCACTAAAGAGGCAACAACACATACAAACATATGCAACAGGAGGTCACTTATATGCCTAGCGTAGGAATATCCTTCAGGTCGTAATATGGGAGCAGATGAACATATCGACTGAGTGATGAGAAGATGGAGTTTAAAGTAAATGGGGAAATTGGAGCTCTGTCATTTCACCTGTTTCACTGGAAAGGTGATCAATTAGCTCAAGTTGTCTTCAGACTCTCACAGCTGCAGGCGGCGCTCAGACGGTCACTCTGAAACACGAACATGAGTCAAATCAAAATATAATCCTCAAGACAAGCCTTGCCTACACATTTCACTGGATTTGAGTTAATGACTGCTTCTCAGCTAACTTCAAATTTAATTCATTAGATTTGAGGGTAAATGGGGCCATGGACAATATGTTAATTAGATATGATTCATTGCTAATTATGTGGGTAAGTGGTTTCCTGGGTATTGAGAATTGTCTTTATTTCACTCACTGAAAAATAATGTCATAAAATAGACTATTGTTTATCTTGCCTGTGTTTCTCTTACTTCTCTGTGACTGACTGGACTTCTGCTGCGGTTCTACAGCCACAGGAACCTGGTTCAGTACCTTCAGACTATAGAAGACTAGAGTGAACTCTTCTCAGAGTGGATACTGACCCCCTCCGCAGCAGCCACAGCCCCCACACAGAGCTCCCAGCAGGCCGTTCACCACCTGCACGGCACACAGCGCCGCCTGGATTAAACCCATCACCAGCAGCACAGAGAACAGGGACAGATGCCAGGACACCACGCCGACCGGCTCTAAACACAGCGACCAGATGTCTTTGTTGGACAGGTAGTCTCTGCAGAGGGAGGGTGAGAAACACACAACCTGAATAATACATTTATTAATGAATGAGCACAATGTTACAGAAACAGTTACCATGAGATTAAACTTCTGCCTGCTTGTTGCTAGAACTGTTACTACAGACATCCTTTTACAGTTTGCATAGATTAGCTTTGAAAGCCTCAATTCTTTTCACTGAGAAATAAAGCACATAAACCACAGAGTTTCTAAAACACATAATATAAAAACAATTGTTGTAATGTGACTTGTGAGTCTCACCCATCTGAGAAGGGATATTCCCAAAGTGCCACGGTGGTGTTTACCAGACACAGGGGTCCATGGTTAATGGCCACCGCAGAAACGATAACTGAGTAACCAGCCCCCAAAACCCCCACAGCTGCAAACAGGATGGAGGTCAGCATCTACAGAGAAGGAGGGAGAAACAGTCGCTCATATTGGGAATCAATAGGTTCGGCGGGTTCGCTTTTAACTTCTTAAACAATGAAAACAATGAGGTTGTTCTCTTGCTGTGCAGAGGCCAGGCTGAAGGTCATTTACAGAGGGTGGCCTGCACAGAGCTACTGATGGTGTGTGTGTGTGTGTGTGTGTGTGTGTGTGGAGCAGTTTGACACTTTTATTTGTCATTCATTCCTACACATTCCTGGAGTATTGATCGGCGTGTGTACGTCTGCTCCAGTACAATACCTGCCCTGTGCAGGAAAGTCATGTGAAACTCTCATATGAGGAATTTCTCATTGTAGTTATTGGAATCTCATCAATTTCTCTGTATACATGTGTGTGTGTGTGTGAGTGTGTGTCCCTGTGCTGTTTGTTATCCAGACCCACAGTGAGTTGACACACTACAAGTTTAAATGATCAGTTTCAGTTTTATATTTATATTTCAGGTAATGACAGAATAGGATTGGCTGAGAAATAAGCTGATATGAGTCTTTCACAGATGTTGGCTGGGATGAAGACTTTTATTTTACAGAATACACAATGTAGAAAAGGTATGAAATTATTTTTTACATTTTCTTTATTCAATTTCTGTAGCGTTAGTTATATTGTGTTATTTAAAATAAAGTTTACGGTTTTGTCTTTGGAATAATTGTCTCCCAAAGTAAATTTAAACGAATAAATAAATAGATAAAAGCACTAAAGCTTTTCTTTCACAAATTAAACTTAAAATTCAAGTCAAACTTGAATTGGTCCGTGGGCATCATGTGACCTGCACGTTCAACTACTGGACAGAACATTCAGTCTAAATTGTTAGATAAAGTTTACAGTGCTGAACATACTGAACAAGATATATTGGATATGTTAATATTTAACATTAACCTGCAATAAAATTAAATAAATAAGATCCTCTGATTAAAAACCTGTTGTAAAAGATAATTTGATTTTGGTGAGAAGTAATAGTGAAGCTTCTCCTCACCGCAAATCTCTGCCCACAGCTCTCGTTACCACAGCAACCGCAGCAGTCATTGTTCTTCAGACCCAGGAAGACCAGAGCTGGGAAGATCATCTGTTGACAAAGTAAACACGCACACACACACACACACACACACACACACACACACACACACACACACACACACACTGATATAACTTCACATACTTCCCCAAAGCGGATCACTTTATCACCATATTGCATATACAGGTCTCTTAATGATCCGGATCTGCAGCAAATGAAGATTAATCTGTGAATTATTATCTAAAATAATGTATTGATTGTGTATTTAATCAAAATGTAAAACAACTATCATGATATTCTAGATCTGAAGGTTGTGTTTGCAGATTGTTTGTTCACACACAAGACAGAAAGAGGAAAAGAAGCAAATCCTCTCGTTTAAGAGGCTGAGACAGACGCACTCACCAACACTCCAGATCCCAGAATGCCTCCGAAGTACCAGACCTCTGTAGTGATGTGGTCACTCTCCACAGACTTCCCGCCGGGGAAGAAGAGCAGGATGTTGCACAGCACGCACACGATCAAGAGAGGTATCAGAGTGATCCCCAAACACTTGGCAAAACTGCCCGAACACATCCTGGCACTGATGCTCGAGACACCTCGGACAGAAACACACTCCTGGGGGACGTCTGGACTTTAAATCTGCTGGATTTTCTCTCGCCTGATGTATTATCTCCTCCTAATTATTCCTTCGTTCACCTCCTTCCAAACTCTCTGTCCACTTCGTCGACTGAATTACCTTGTCTGCTTCTGCCCGTTGAGGCTTTATAGTTGCCCCCTCCATCACCGTGTGTGATCTCACTGCTTTTACAGCAGCCAGCCGTCATATGTCACACACTCTAACAAACATACATGCACACACACACACACACAGGCATGGAGGCAATAATGTGGGGATTGTGCACACAGATGCACCAGTGAGGAAAGAGCAGTTAATGTTCTACCAAGTGTTTTGTGTACATGGAGACAGAAGAGGAAGTGACAGACAGTCGGTCGATACAGGCAGATAACCACACGTTTACTGAGATGAACCTCTTCATTACTGAGAAGTAGAAAAGCCATTGTTCAGCTTTGGCTGTTTGTAATTTAAGATTTAATTTGGTGCAGCTTGATTGAATCTAAGGGGCTTTGACGGAGGTGTGCGCTCGACTGTCATTCTGCCTCCAGCAAGGTGCTTTTGTTTTCAATGCTGGTTGTTTGTAGTAAATTGCTTTTGATGAAACTTGGTGGAAGGGTGATGTGTAGACCAAAAAAGAACTGGTTCACTTTTGGAGCAGATTTGAACAAGAGGTTGAATCCTGGAATTTCTTTCCACTTTCATCAACTCTGGGCATGTTTTCTTTTATTTTGTGAAAAACTTAGTTTGCAAACTCTATTATCTATGGAGGGGTCAAATTTGGTGTTCATCCGCATAATGATCTAAATATAGTGAGTTCCCCCTAAAAATATGTTTCCTTTATTCAATTACTCTCGAGGAACAAATAATCTCTTCAACTATATAAAAAAAGGAACTCGGCAGAAAGCTTCTGCGTAAATGGTTTATTTTTCTGATCTCAATAAATGGATACTACATGTGATATGGTGAGATTAGGTTTTAATAATTCAACAAAAACTGTTGTAAAATTATGAGATCAGAAATCATTGACCCAGTATGTGCCTGCATGTGGCCTCAGGTTCTCAGGTGGATCCTGTTGGCTGCTCCAAAGTCGAGGTTGAAAGATAAAGGCGTTTTCTCCATCAGGGCTGTGGAACAACCCACCCGAGGAAATAAGACTGTGACACTGACTCATTTTAAATCACTTTTGAAAACCCAGTTTTGTAGATTTTATAGATGTTTCATGTGATGTCATGTTTTTACTTCATTTCAGATTTTTGTTAACTTTTTTATTATAATTGTTCATTTATATGTATTGTCATATGTATTTCTGTCATACGCAGGTTTTTTATTTATTCATTTAATTTGAACTCTACCTTGTTTCCGACCTGATCGTGTTTGTCTGGCCTCTTGGTCACACTGCATCCTGCTGATTGTGATTTCTCTTATATAAACTTTATTTATAACACTTTGTTTTATTATTATTTTATTGTACGTTTATTATTATGAATATTATTATGACATGTCCCATCCATGAACATGGTGTCAGTGGGGCAGCAGGTGACCTCATCGATGTCATCGGTCATCCACTTCTCTGTGCTGCTGTTCTTGAGTCAAACTCAATCGATGCCAGAGTAATCGACGAGCGGCTTGAAACAGTTTCTTCCTCGTCGGTGGATTTCCCCTCGTGTCTGTCGGTGCTGGTTCGAACCAAAATGAACATCGACTTGACCTTCTCCTCTCGTCGGTCTCCGGTGGTGTGTTCACGCGGCTGTGTCGCGTCCAGTCAGCCGCTGGCTTCAGCCGCAGGACTGGGTGAGTGGAACCACGCGGAGCCCGGAGGAGTGAGACCCAAACACAACACTTCAGGTTTTATAAGTCGGATAAATAAAGTTTAGTTTAATGATTTGACCACATGAGTTTACAACCCTGGTGCACACGGTTCCAGATCTCTCCCTTCAGGTCGAGCTGTCTGCATCGTCCTTCTCAGATATTTAAAAAATGAAATGTTGATATCTGGAACTGTATAAAGTCTTATTTTATCAGGGAAGTTTCCAAACTGTTCAACAGAACCTGAAACACTGAACATCTCGATCAGTAAGTTTGATCAAACCAAACACTGTGGCCTCTCAGTGGAGGACATGTTGTTATCATACTCATATTTTATTACAAACTGGAGATCCCAGATGTGGTCTTGTGAGAAACCTTTGGAATTAACATTACAGAGCCCAGATTCACATAATCCAAGTTCAAGATATCTTTTAATTCAAGCTGTCCATTTTAGATATCTCCAATTAACTTTGAACTAGTAAAGATGATGCAGTAGATTTCTCAAACTGGAAACATTGACAGTCATTGTAATGTTTAGAGACGTAACATATCCCAACGCCTCAGGATCCCCAGGGACAGCTGGAACGTGAGGCTGGGGAGAGGGACGTCTGGAATACCTTGCTTGTCAGGCTACCTCTCAGACCTGAGCTCGGATAAGCAGATGGATGAATGGATATTCAGCAGCTGTTGTGTAATCCAACACACAAACCAACAGACTGGCCAAAACCTTAAGCTCCTTGGCGGAGACATAATGAAAATCCAGATTATTTAAAAAAAAAAAAAAAAAAAACTTTTGTGGCATTTCCAGAAAATATTCGTCACGAGTTGTTCAAGATTTGTGCAGCTCGCGAACTCAACATGTGAAACATTTGAGTGTCACAAAACTGAGCATTTAAAATAGTTCAATCTGGTGAATCTGTCATGTGTTTGCATCCAGATGTCCTGAAGCGTGGTGGCAATGCGGCGGATGCTGCAGTTGCCATAGCAGCAGCACTGGCGGTGACTGAGCCGTGCAGCACCGGCCTTGGTGGAGACGCCTTCTGCTTGTTCTTCAACGGAAACACCGGAGAGATCCGAGGAATTAACGGCAGGTGGCGTCTCTTCCCTCGCTGCTGTTGTTGTTGTCGTCTTCTTGGTTCAGGATGATTAGCTGAGCCTCTCTCTGTGTCACGCAGTGGTCGTTCGCCCCGAGCTCTGACCCTGGAGTTCCTGGAAGGCCGCGGGTACACAGCAGAGGCCCCTCCTTCACCTTTTGACGTGCTTAATGTCACAGTTCCTGGGGCCCCTGCGTGTTGGTGTGACACCGTACAGATGTTTGGTAGTCACAAGGTTTGTCTGTCTGTAGAGCTGTTTGTGTTTATTTGTGTAACATGCAGCAGGGATTCTTTTCTTTCTCTGGAAAATCCGGGGAAGTTGCAAACTAGTTTCCGTCTCCATAGGCAGCACAAAACAATGATTCATACTTCCTGCTTCACAAGCTTTCCTGTGAGGTCATAAGTGTGTGTTTCCTCTGCCTTTTTCCTCTAGCTGTCATTTCAGGAGGTGCTGAGCGGCGCGGTGGAGCTCGCAGAGGTGGGGTTTCCTGTCGCCAAGGTGACAGCTCACCACTGGGCGAAATGGGTGGCCGCTCTGAGAGATGATGGGAAGGAACTAGGTGGGGACCTCCTGATTGACAGTCATGCGCCAAAATGTGGCCAAGTATTCAGAAACCACGCCCTGGCCAAGACGCTAAAGGTAAAACAAAAATTAGAGCTCATCTTATTTCGACATGTTATGAGAGACAACTGTGCTCGCTGTACATCCTTCCAGAGGTTGTTTAGATTCTTCAAATATGACTTAAACTTCTGTATTGTATGACGATGAACCCAAAGGAATGCTGGGTAAAATACCTTGACTCCACTAAGATATTGGACTGAAAAATAGTAAAAGTCTGACATGGAAAAGGTGATGGGGGAGGGGGAGTGGGAGTGTGAGATTGTTTATTCTGTGTTCACTCTGTTGTTTCAGTGACACATCAATCAAACCTTACCTCACCTGTGTGTTTGTGTATTTGTCTGCTTATGATTCACCATCAAACCCTGCACTGTTTAGTCAGTCTTCAATACGCCCATGAAAACGACACCACACTCACACACTCACACACTCACACATTCCTACATTCCTCAGCAATGACAATATCAACAGTGACAACAGAGATAATCCAATCGTTTGTAAATCGCAATTCATGCATGAAACGCAACACAAACTGCTTATTTAAAGAGCATTTAACAAAATAAACAAATGTCCTTTGTTAAATCATTTTTAAAGACAAGTCCACTTCCTTGTGATGAAAAATCACACATTCACACTCTCTTTGTGTGGACGCAATAGTGGACACGTCATTGGCATCATTTTAAAACTCTGGACTTTAGTGGGCTTTTCTCACTGTGGTTAAAACATGTAGATGGACAGAAAGGATGCAATGAGATGGGTTGACTGATTGAACAGTAAATTGATGGGTTGAGTGATTGTAATACTGACGGACTGATGCATCAACAGGAGCTGGGTGAACGGGGAAAACCGGCGTTCTACCAGGGCAGAGTGGCCCAAGCCATCGCTGATGTCATCAGCCAACACGGAGGAGTCATGACCCTGGAAGATCTCAGCGCCCATGACAGTGAGGTCATCACGCCCATAAGCACAGAGTACAAGGTTTGGTCGGCAATCATAGACGCTTATGGTATCAGTACTTTAATAACTTAGTCAGCGGGGTGTATGACTCCATTGTGTGTTCAGGGCGTGCGTCTGTGGGAGCCCCCACCTAACAGTCAGGGACCGGCTGCCCTGCTGCTGCTCAACATCCTGGAGAACTTCCCTCTCAAAGGTAACAACACGGACACACAGCACCGCTGTGAAATTCAAGCAATGGTTCACTAAAGTCTCCCAAATCTTGTTTTATAACAACCCAGATACTTCCAGTGTAATGAGATTGAGATTCTGAGCTTTTCACCTGATTAAGTGGAGGTGATTGGACCATGTAACGTAAGAAATCCCTAAAAATGGGGCTTTCTTTAAGAAGCACAAGTTGCTGACAACAAAACTGACTCTGTCTCTGTTTAAACTCTTTGAGAAGACTTTATAATTCTCTGTGTCACGTTTCATTTGATGAGACATTTGTATATCTAGCATTTGTATTATCTCTATAAACCAATGTGTCTGTGTGTGTTTGTGTTTGTGTTTGTAGCTATGGGCCATAACAGCTCCGACTACATCCATGTGTTGGTGGAGGCTGTGCGTCTGGCACTAACAGATGCTCTGCGTTACCTTGGTGATCCAGACCATGTGACCGTCCCTCTGGAAACCTTACTGGACAAGAGCTACAGCCGTCAGCGAGCGCAGCTCATTAGCATGGACAGGTGTGGTTCTGTGTGTGTGTGTCTGTTAGTACCAGTGTGTACCAGCCATGCTTTGTTGACTTTAGATAGGACTGTACACTTTTACAACCCCACAACCTTTATGTCCATCCCTTCAAGCCTCATCCCTCCTCCTGTGTGTGTGTGGGTGTGGGTGAGAGAGGGTGTGTGCTTATATTTTGCTTGCAATTTTTAGTCCCTGGTCACAGCTGTAGACTTTGAACCTTAGGTATTTATTAGTTGTTAAACAAACTCATTACAAACATAAAACACTCTGTGATCATGATTAATTAACATAATATGTTGCGTCATAGTTTGTGTTCCAACCTTTGAATTAGCAAGGATGAGTCACAAATACTAATCATACACCTCCGATTCCCTCTCCCTACTAAAATCTTCCCCTGCAACCTCCGATAACTACAGGCCCTTTTACAAACTGCCGTTCCTTTCTAAGATTCTAGAAAAGCTTGTTGCCAAACAATTTCTCCAGATGGAAAAGGGAAACAATATCTTTGATAGATTTTAATCTGGCTTCCATCAAAAACACTGAGACCTCATTGCTCTCGAAATACATTCTACAAACACACGGACAGATTTTGGAATTGGTAGATCCCCTTGAGGATCCACCCTTGGCTCTACTCTGTTCTATAGAGTAGATGGCCTCTGACTAAGTCATTGATGTATGTTACCATCGGTATGCTGATGACACACAACTTCACTGTTAAACCTGAAAACCCTCATTAACTGTTCCACCTTTCATGATTGTCTAGTTTTATGACTAATTGCATGTCTCATAATGTCCTCTCTCAAATCTAATAGGACAGATGTACTTGTATTCAGCCCTGATTATTTTATTTTGGCTCCCTTGCCCTCGATCTCAAGACCCCCTCTAAAGATCTTGGTGTTCTTTTCAACCTGCGTTTGAACCTCACATCACTGAGCCTGTTCAGTGCCTCTTTCAACCAAACCAGTTCCAGCTGACGGAAGCATTGAGCTTCTAGTATATATCCCAGTCAGCAATGGAAATGTTAGTCTTTGTAGTTTTGCTGTTCTGTTATTATGAATTGAAGATGTAGATACTATTTTCTATTGAGGAACAACGTCTGATACACCCTCACATTGTGACTAAAGATGAGTCTGAGACAATCATTACCTGCAGCCATTCTCTGGAAAATTAGTGTTGGACACGCCCACTTTACCTTCTATTGTTGAGCCTAATTGAAGAAGTCACGTCTCTCTTGACATCTCTCACTTCTTCTGAACCGGTGAGATTTCAGCTCTTCCTCCGAGGAACAATTATTTGTCATCATCATATCATCATGTGCGACGTCACGAACGCTGATAGACTGTCTCACCTCGCTGTCTGCAAAATTAGCAAGTTTCACCGGATGTCCTACGTTGCCATGACTGCGAATCAGAGCCGGAGCGATTCAAACCCCCGTCTTCTGCAGATGTTTGACCTGAGAGAAAGATTATTGTATCTATTCCCACTACAGCCAGATGTTAACGGGTGTTAGTTGGTTTTTTGACCAGAGATGGGCTGTACCAGCCTGGCCCCTGATGACGTAACCGAGAGGCCTGGTTTCTGTTCCCCCGTTTCTATCCATATTTGCCTTGTCATTGTTTAATTTGACTGCATGCGTGATTAATGTGCATGGGTGTTTGCTTGCTGGCATGCACTTATCCTTGTTTTTAAGTTGCTTTTAAAAAGTACTGTATTATTATGATCATCATTATTATTATCCACTCCTCACTCATTAACACAAACAACAAAATATCCTTGTCTACGCAGTTTCTGTTTACATTCACATAACAAACCAGTTAACTGAGAGAGAGCAGCAAATTAGATATCATGCTCACATGCCCTGAAATAAGATGGTTACTTTAAAACCCGGGTTTACATTCAGCCGGTCGCTCTGCGAACGCTCTACAATGTTTTTAAATCAATAGCAGACAGCGGCAAATGGTTTATTACGTTCACTTTGGACTCAAGGAAAAACTGTTCAAGGTCCCTGTGAACTCACAAATCACATATTTGCCTGGTGAACGTGATATCTCAGAAAAAAACCACCAGGGAATCTTTTCAAATTTAGTACAAACATTCACTGGTCACTTGGAGTCAAAGGTCACAGAGACCACAGATTATTGGAGGGACTTTTATTACATCTGACACAAACATTCACTTGAATTCAAAGAAGAACTGATAAGAAAAAGTTTAGCTAAAGTCAAATGTTTACTGTGACCCACCAGAAGACAGGATATTGTATATCTTTGATTATAATCTAACATGCTATTATAGTGATTTATAGATTCTTTACTTTCGTTTTATGTCAACAATCACATATTATAAATCTGATAATTACTGGAATTAATGTTCCCTGGAATTGCTGTGATTGTTTTGAGGTGTACAATCGCAGGACGTGAATTTCACGTGTGAGCCGGTATCTTTTTTTCCTGGACTGATGCCAATGTGGAATGGAGAACAGGCTCTGTGACACCAACAATTTAAAAATGTAAATGTTACATTAGACTTCCTTCATGTTGACAGACAATGACTTTTATTTAGCTATTTTAGAACATTCATTAACATTTATTTTATTCACCTTCGTATCATGTCGAGCCACAAAACACCTTTTTAAATGAGCCCCTCATTCAAACAACAAACAAAAGATAATACCGTTAGTTTTCTGTTGGAGAGGAAAATAAAGTCTTTTATAACATCCTATATAACATTTTAATATATAACCTTAAAGTCTGGTCTGATATTTCCCTTTTCTCATATATTTCATAGTAACAATACGACCTCTGGGTTTCTCACCATTAATAATTTGTGTTTTTATCAGCTCGTGTGTGTGTGTGTGTGTGTGCGTGTGTGTGTGTGTTTTGTGTGTGGGTGTGTGTGTGTTTTGTGTGTGTGTGTGTGTGTTTTGTGTGTGTGTGTGTGTGTTTTGTAGGGCCATGGAGGGATTGGAGCCGGGCCTGATGACAGGAAGTGACACAGTCTATTTCTGTGTGATGGACAGTGAAGGGAACGCCTGCTCATTCGTTAACAGCACCTACATGGGCTTTGGGACTGGGCTCGTCCCAAAGGATTGTGGATTCTCACTACAGGTTTGAATGGTTAGAGAGGCTGTGTGTGTGTTTTACATGTTTTAGGAATGAATGGTGTGTTGGTGTGTTGTGTTTAATATGACACCACGAACAGTAACATTATTTATATTGTTATATTCTTTGTAGAACCAACGTAGAATTTCCAGACTGGTTCTCAAAAAAGACATTTAAACAATAAATTGTATGACTGAAGGAAAAGGTTGATTCACCGTTACGATGTATGAAAACTCTTTCTGGCTCTTTGCAGAATCGCGGTGCCAGTTTTTCTCTGCGTCGTGACCATGTCAACTGTGTCGCCGGGGGGAAACGGCCGTACCACACCATAATAGCTGCGCTCCTCACTGCCTCTGCAGCCGAATCACAAAAAACACAACTCCTCGCTGCACTCGGGGTGATGGGGGCTTTGATGCAAACACAAGGACACGTCCAGGTACAGAGCGTCAGTTTGTTTTGTTTGTTTATGTTACTGATAAGTCAGAAGAGGAATACTAGTTATTGTGGGATTCAGCTTTTCTGTGTCTAATTCAGTATTTACGTCGGTACCTTGGTTATTCCTGGTTCAACCTTATGTTTGATGTTTCATGTGTTAAAAACTGACACGGATGTTGTGTTCAGGTGTTGCTCAACATGCTGGAGTTCGGGATGGATCCTCAACAAGCTCTGGACGCACCGAGAGTCCACGTAGAATATCACAGAAAAAGTAAAGACAATCCCGGCCAGCACACACCAACACACTCTAAACAGATTTGAGCAGATTTTCACTGTGTGACCTGCAGCTGGACATCACGTCCTGGTCAATGATTCATTAATATGTGAGTTTAGTCAAAATAGTGCAGGTTGGTTCACTTCCTCTTGTGAACTTCCTCCAAACTTTATTTCATTAGGTTATTATACAGCAAACTGTATTTCCTCTATTGGTGCTTGTATAAATACATTATACATAAACACATTACACATAAATACACACATTAATTAAAGAAAAGGATGATACGTGTGTGATGT